CCCTCCTATGCTTTTAGCTGCTTTTACTTCTTTCTCACAACCGCAGTAGTAAGTTCCCATAAAATTTTTATTTTTCCACCGAAAGTATGCAATAAATGAACACATTTTCAATTGTAATTTGTCATCATTATTAACTCGTACAAGACTTGGGCCAATGGAATATTTAATAAGGCAGTCGCCAAATAGGCAAGGAAGTATTTCTTAATAAGAAAATTCTTTTGATGTCCAGAGACCAAAAGCAATTTGTACCGCCCGAAAGACCCCGGAGAAGGTCGCAGCCAGAATGCCTGATATGTCTCACTCGCACCGTCTCTATCGCTCCCATCCTGCTGTCTCTTTCTGCACGACCGAGTGTTGGCGTCACTTGGAATTTAATGAATGTGAAAGGGGACTAGAATGTGAATACGACTACGGTTCGCAATGCAAGTGCAACGTTGGGTTGGGAATGTGGGTCAAAGTTTACCTTCATTATATTGTTGAAGTCATCGAATGCATAAGCCTCGGCAACCGACACATCGCTGCCCTGATGAAACGCATGAAAATCAAATTGTTAACCATTAAATCGAGTTCACTTCACAACAATCGAGTGCTCGCTGAATGATTCGCTTAAAACATAAACGTAAAATACATATCAAATCAAACACACATGCATACATACGAATCATACCGCAAAAAATTCCAATTTATTCGCATGCCGAATTCATGTGTTATATCTGTATATGGTATATATATTAGAGTGCGCACATATCTTTATGGAACACGTGTTTTTATATATCGCTGGGGGAAATACGAGCGCCAGTTCAATGGATGGCTGTGTTTCCCTCTTTTTTTTATTATTTTGGCCGTCAATTTCCGAGATACGAACGCGAGCAGTGCGGGGATTTATTGTTCAGCTGCCACAACGGGGAGTAGGGGAGGTGTCGAAATCCGCAAGGCGCCAAAATCGAAACCATTTAAGTCACCCACCGCACAACCAACACCCACTGGAAGCCCAGGAGATGGACTTAGCCAGGTCTCGAATGGGATTTAGCGATTCACCTTGATTGCCTGCGAGCCGGAATAGCTGAGGAGCACTGGGGTATGCAACAGTTATTGCATAACTCGAGCGGTGGCGTATGGGTGATATGCCTGTGTTACCCATACGCCATGTGGGCTTAGGCTGCTGGCCAACCACTCAAACACTTCAGTCCTCTTACTTCCTGTCACTGCCAGGACAAACTGTTGAGGACCATTAATAGCCTGGGCTTTTGAAATTTATTTAAATTGGGTTTTCCGCTCTACGATTTCCCATACCTCCTCGAACAATGTTTGATTTAATTGGGTCAATTGGAAGTGGGATTGAGTTGAGTGTTGGAGAGCGGCTTGCGGGCCAATTTGAGTTTCCAGTGCGGACTTAATTGTCGGCACGAAGTGTCTGTAAACTATGTCTCTCCAGGGCCAAGTGCACTGCCTGCAGCTGACATTGATTTCTGTTATCTCACAAGGGGGTGCTGCTGCCGACATTCTTATTTGATGCCTCAACTGGCACGGCACAGCTGCAACATGGGGAAAAACGAGGCGGAGCTCGGGTATCGGGAGGGGGAGTAGCAGGTCCAAGGCCAGAAAACAGATGCGCGGCGATGCCACCACATGCCATGCATACTAAGCGGCGATTAAGTGGATGTGGATGTGGCTGCGGCTGCGGCCGTTAATTTAGAACTGGAGCAGGACTTATAAATCGTTTGCCGCCACAAGTGAGGGTGTTGTGTAATTAAAGGTCAAGCTCGCCGCCTATTGATTCTATTATCTCAAGTATTTTGGCGGCCGCCCCCAGGGAGAGATTAATTAAATCTTGAAGGATCTCGGACAAATTTTCACGCCTGTCAAAGGTCATCGGTGAGACAATAAATAGCAATAAAATCCTTGGGGCCCCAAGTGACTCAATTGCTAGTCATCAATCATAGCATGTTGCGAATTGTGTTTTGGATAATCACTCAATCAGGGCACGATTCTATGGTTCTAATGTGTCATTGTCTCAGTCTGCGAGGGTAAGGACGTTTACGTTTCTGTGGCACTGGTGGTGCTGAAAACAAATTGATTTAACAGTCTTTTTCACAGTACGAGTTACGAGTTGTGGGCCACGATTTCGATTTCTGCGTATGTGCAGACAGGACACGCAAGCCAATTTCAGCAGTTGAGCGAAATGGAATTCATAACGAGCTTAAGGGATTATCGGGCATAACCCGTCGTCATCTCCAAAAATCCCCAACCAAATCCCCTTTGCCAGATTCATATGCAAATGTCGGGGGGCTGGGGCGTTTATTAAGCCATGATTGATTGACGGGGCATTTTGTTTATTAACAATTCATTCGGCAAGCCAGGAATGCGTCCATAACAACGTGTCGTTAAATCTATTGCGGCTTTCTGCTTGAAAAACTAAATTTGGTTTGCCCGACAAGTTGTTTGGCTAGTGCTGCACGACGAGACGAGCAATTTGAAAATATATCGGTTCGCTCGATGATTTGTTTCATATTATTTTGGAGTCAACTTCTCGTATTTCCTTATGTCAAATGTAATTCATTCTCGTCTCGAAATTCGACCGCCTTCGAGCGAGATTCTCGAAAAATATGAGTTCAAACCTTATATTATATTCGAAAAACGTTGAAAAGATCGAAGCCTATAAACTTGTAATTTATTATGAATGATTTAATTTTGAATTTCTCTTTGGTAAAAATACACAAACGCACTACATAAAACATTTTATTAAGATCGCTAGATACAGAAAACCAAAACAAAAAATTTTAAACAGGATGCATTTGGACTCGATCAAATCGATTTTTCATAAAATTTTGTATAAAATGCTATAAATTGTTATTACTTCAATATTTTACTTTGTTCGTTACTTTTTCATGTTAACTATCATAATAAACAGACAGATATAAGAATAAAAATGAAATGCAATATTATCATTACTGAAGTTTTTCTTTTAATTTTTATGAATTTACTGAATACTAGCAGAGCAGAAAAACAAGTATTGCTTATATGCAGAGCCATATTTAAAGTTTTAATATTGATTTCATAAAGATGTTAGGTTTTTCTAATAGAAATTTAATACATTTTTTCATACAATTTAAAAAATTATGACTTAAATATATTTATGGATTTAAAATATTTCAGGAAATGTTTTTAGGGAATTTTATTTTTGTTAGTGCAAAGATATTATATGGGAGCTGGAGAATAATTGAATAATCCAGGATGCAGTACTGAGAACCCCGACTTTTGCCATTTCCCGGGTCATTATGCACTTTGCGGACAGTTGGCCAATCAGTCACTTCGTGTGGGTGCAATTAGTCGGAGTTCCTGCGGCTGAGATGTGTGCAATTAGAGTGTGCAGCAAGGAAAGTGCTCAAGTTGTGGGTGCTTTTGGTGATTTTGGGGGTGAGGACTCGAAAAACAGGCGGTTCTCAAAGTAAGTGCATATAATTACGGGACGACTCACCTGGCGCTGCAGTATATAGCTGAATTCCGTAGCCGTGTTGCGTCGACTGTCGTTCATTTTGCTTGGTCTGGCTTTCTTTTCTCTATTTTTGGTCTAACTTTGCTAAAAGTAAAAGTTCTAAGTCCCTCTGGCTTCAAATTTATATTATTTCGTTTAGTTAGTTGAGTTAAGGTATAGTTTTAGTTTTAGTTTTAGTTTTAGTTTTTGATTTTGGTTTAGTTTAGGTGGGTAGTTGGCTGGCCTTTATGAAGTAGCTGGATATGCGATATACGAGCAGCCGCCTACAACAAGATAAAAAAATTTTCAACTTAAATAAGATAAAATAACTGGGGAAAAGCACAATTTGGCCGCAGGCTCAACACAGTTTAAGTTTTCTTGTTAATTATGAAGAGTTATACAAGAACTGGAGCACATATACGAGCACTGTCACCGAACAATAAATAAACCAAAAGCTATGGGTTTCTCTGGACGTCTGACTTTGTGTTTTTAAGTATTTCCTGGATTGTTTTGTTATATATTGTTTTAGGAATGTGTGATTTTTTAATGGAGTTTTGCATTGTCTAACCGATTTGTCGGGTGTTCGATGCGATTTGGTTGCTTCGACGCTTTCGATGAGACTGCTGCAATAAAAATATATTGCGAAACTCTCAACAAGGATACCGTTAGCGTTGTCCTTTCGCCGTGGCGTCGCTGCCCGAAGTTCTGCTCCCGCTCTGCTCTCTCTCTCCACGCGTCGCAGCTGTTTTCTCTTTCGCTCATTATGCCATGCTCTCGTTGTTGTTGCCGTCTGACTTTGAAATCGCACCACACACCCACACATTCACACACAGAGTGCTCTCACAATAACAAAACAGAAGCCGGAAACAAAAGTGAAAGTTGCCACACTGTCGTGTCAGCTGTTTGGCCCTGAAAGCTCGCTCTCAAGCCGAGCTTTCCCCACCCACTCGAGGGCAGTCTGGCAGCACTGGCTCTTCATTCATAGGAAATGCGGGAGAGAGTGATAACGAGCGAGCACGTGGTTGGAAAGCTCTATTAGCACAGTGGGCCGAACGCAAAGTCACCTTTGCTCTATATACATTTAAATTCCTTAACAAAAGCCAACCTTTCCCCTTTAAGCCAAAATAAGGTACATAAAGTTTAAAAAAAGCCAAAAAACTAGCTTAATAACTTTTGTAAGTTTGTTACATGAAAAGATTGTTCCAGTCATGCGCCGATAACTTAATGCACTTTATAGTTGAAGCAGCCAGTCTTCGCAATCCGTATCTGTATACATATTTAAATAAAAATTAGTACTGACATTAAAACTTAACCCTATTCATGGAATGCTGTTTTTTAAAAATACAGAATTTCCGCTTCTCGCAATTTATAATTTTTTTCCGCATTCGGTCTTTAAAACAACTAGATTTAACGGAAAAAAAGCGGAATTGGCAGACCTGTTTCTGGTGTTAGATCATATTGGCACTTTGAGACCTTAATATAACATAAAGTTTCCAGCTAATTGAAATTTTCGTTTTCACCGAAGTACAGATTTTCAATTTATTGTATGTTCCAATGCATTGTTATGCAGAACAATCAAACAAACTCTTAGCAGCTGTCTATCTCCAGGGAACTACCCTGTAGTCCTGCAAGGACTCGTCGTAGGTGTAACTGATGTCCACCTCTTGGTGGAGCATTACCTGGGCATCCAGAAGACGGCGCAAAATCACCGCGGAACGCGAGTCGAAGTGGTTACCATACAATTCCAGGCGCTGCAGCCAGCAACATTTCTTCAGGGTCAGTAAAATATTATTTATCGCCTCCGGCTGAATGTCGTTGTACTTCAAGTGCAGATGGTTCAGCTTCAAGCACGAAGAGAGGTACATGGACACCCACTCACCACCATGTGTGCCAATTGAGTTGCAGCTAATGTCCAGCACTTCCAGACGCTTCCCAATGGCGATTCCTCGCAGCAGGAACATGGCTCCATCTGGGCCGATTTTATTGTTGCCGATTCGCAGGCGCCGGAAATTCGATGTGGGCAGTCCCAAGTACTCGGCAATGGGAAGCATGTCCTGGGCGGTCAGTTCGCAGTGCTGCAACGACAGGCTCCAGAGTCTGTTCTGCATCAGCAGCGAACTCAGCACTGATGTGATCTTCTCCGTGTCCAGGCTGAGACTCAGTCCCAGCAGCCGGTCGGCACACAGGCAACGCAGTCCCGGCGACTTGTGGACTCCGTCCGCGATCATGGCAAAGTTGTACTGGGTCAGGCTGCATCTGGACACATTGAGCAAGCGCAACGTAGGGCTGACCAGCAAGAACTCTCGTAGGATCCGCACGTCTTCGTTGGTGAGGGGAGTGCCTGGGAGATAAGACAATTCAGGAAATCTGGTTAAAACTAAAGTAATTATAGTTTTAATAAAATTAAAATAAATTACATATATTTTCTCTTCTTAAATTAATCACCATAACATAAACGCTAAAGCTTCCGTATTGGAAAAAAACTATTAAAGATTTAAAGGTGTTTGTAAGATCAAACATAAAGTGCCCCCCAATTTTATAGCTATCTCAAGAACCATTTAAAAATCATTCATCAAACATATAAAAACATCATAAGTATAACAATTAAATCATTAAAATCTAGTTCACCTTCAAGGTTCAGCTGGCTGACGTCCATCTTTTTCGCATTCAATCGGAGCATAACAAAAAACTCGTGGGGCAATCGCATCATATTCAACTCGATGTACCACACGGGGATCAGGGAGCGGGCAAAGTCCTTTAGCAGGCCCGCATCCCAGTTGCTAACGTTTACACCCGAAAACTTCACGGCCAGCTGGTGGCGCCGCAGGAGATAGTTGACTATGACCCGGAAGTCGCGGACGCAGTGGTACTTCCGGCCGATCCGCTCCTCGAATTCCAGTCGCTTGAACTGGAATTGCTGGTAGGGTCGTTTGTCGTACTCCCGTTGCCAGCAATAAAGGAGCAGTTTCGTGAACAAACGGCTTTTCTCCGGCAAAGGACTCGGGCATTCCTTCGGATTGTATTCGCACGGGAGGACCACTTCGCACATCCTTAGCTGTTTCGTGTGGAGGCAATGTAAATTTGGTTAGGTATTGCAAGTTTATGACAACTTAGTCAAAGCAGACTGCCAGTGAAATATACATGAAATCACTTCCGAAAGCGCGAAATATGCTGCATATTTTTCGGCAGACAACAAAAAATATCTGTGTAAAATAACCAATGTTTATATTTTACAGTTAATGTAGCTTAAAACAAGTAATAATTAAATTCTTTTGAAATTTAAAAACAAGCAAATTAAGAAACTAAACCTTAAAATAGTCCGTTCTTAGTTTTCTAAACTTCAATTAAATTGCAGTTCATTTATTTGAGTATAATTTTCTAATAAAAGATATCTGTTTACGACTTTCCATGTATATGAAATCTGCAATAAAATTATAGCCTACTTCCAAGTTTTTTCCCTGCTTACGTCTTAACGAGAACTAAACTACCATTGCTGCAATCCAAATGGGTGGTAAAAAGTGGTTTCGCAATGGCAAAATGGAGTCCCAAAACTAAAATAGTTCACAAAAACCTCGTGGCTGTTGTTAATTGTGATTAATTTTATAAATAGCTTTAACTAAAAATATGTAAAACTTTGCTCGCCACAGTTCTGTGGAACGCCAAAAGTGTTGCCCCCTTAAAAAGAGCGGAATGCTTCCTCATATTCGGCATAGTCCTGCCAGCAGCAAGACTAGAAGTCTCCGCTTTTGGAGCGCAAGACTTCCACGGTATCATTAGCATAGTTTGCGAACTGAAGGCACAAACTTGGTCGGGGCGAATTACCATAACCGCCATTTCATTCATTTATGTATCCTATTCCACAATGGGCTCCCACTGTCGTCCACGTGGTCTCCAAGCCGAGGCATCCTGGCGTGCCGGCACGCGTCATGCCTGTCCTATTAATACGCTGCAACCCATAATCGATATAGCTATACACAGTCTTCATATACATATATACATTGGCATAGGGAAGGAGCTGCACGTAGCAAGTGGGGAATGCAGGAGTATGAGTGGTATTTGCGCCATTTATGGTCGGTTAGCATCTTCATTTATTTGATTACCCTGGCAGTGCTTTAGCATTGAAGAACGCATCAGTCAACGACAGTGCTGTCGTCTTAGCTAGATCTTTTTCTATTCAACAGTGTGCACTTTAATTGTTAGATAATTTGTACTATAGCTGGTTAACCTTTTAGATGCTTGAAAGTGTTTATAATCTTGCAAACTTTATTATAACCTCGGAGTGCACTTAAAGGGTTCGATTAGTATTTCCTAATTAGTTTTTTTTTCTGAAATTCAAATAGTTGATAATGTCACCTTATTAATATTTTGTTTTTTAAAAGTTACCTATGATGGTAACTTAATTTTTTGGTTAATCACTGTATACTTTTGCAATATTTAAAATTAATTTATGTCTTCTAATCCGCACTAAAAATAGTGTTTTTAACAAAGTGAACTGAAAATTTATTCACATAATTGTTATAATTTATCAGAAAGAAGAAATGAGGTATTGTTTACTTATTTTATCAAGCATACATTTTCATAGATAAAATACAGACCGAATGTAAAATGTTGTAAAAAAGAACATCATCACTGTTGAAAGAGCACCCAATGACTTCGTCTGAATGGACTGCTCCTCTGAGGCGGACGACAGGTGCCCAATCAATAGAGCAAATGACGACTGACAGCCATTGGCTGGCAGGTATTTTTCACTTTTACTACCTGGCCATGGCCACCAAATTGCTGCTTCCACTTTGGGCACGGGACAAGGGCCAGGACTTGGCCATGGACCGGCTTGAATCTGCATTAATTTACGGCCAGCGATGGTCAGACGGCCAGGAGGCAGACACCCGGGAGCCCAGGAGGCTCGACGCTCCATGTTTCAAGACGAGCTCCACGCTTAGTCATCAAGATAGCTGCTGCTGCTAACCAGCAGAGGCAATTAACAGCGGCGACAATTCGGCTTGCCTTCGGGGCCTCAAATTGAAATTCGAAAAGTGGCAGAAGAGCAACTTCAGTCGCGCACAGATGCTTATCTGTGCTTAGAAAAAACGCGATAATTAAAAATATTGTAAAATGCCAGACGGCCAGACGCTCATAATTGCTGGCAGAGGCACTGGCAGAGGCAAGCCCAAAGGCCCAGGCGAAGTCGCAGACGACAGAGAATCAGTCGAAGTCTCAGTTTACAGCTACCAGACAACACGACGCGGCGGAGGAGCACTGCATGTGCATATCATTTAAATAACTTTCCGTCGCACAGCACAAGTGTGAAACTGCAGGCACTATCCTCCGGTTCACCTGCTCTGCCGCAGCAGAGCTACCAAGCTACCAAGCAACCGAGCTGCAGAAATGCAGAGTCGACCATTCCCATTCCCCATCCGTCCGTCCAGACCATGGTCCATATTTGGATGCAACAACGGCGGCGCATCTGCATCACTTAAGGACAATATTGACAGCAGCAACACCGAGTGTCTGCCACGGCCTCCAGACAAACTACAGACGCGAGACATGCACTTGTCTCCGGCTGGCTGGGTCAGCCTCCAACTCCATCGCCGGCTGTCCCTCCATCCTCCATCCATCACCCTCCACCCTGCACCGACCATCCTCCGCCCTCCGGCGAACGCATTCATTGTCAATTTTGACAATCAACAAGACGCGGCTACACATACGCCTTCTGAAATGCCCCTGCATCAACAGCATCACTTACAGAGCAAAAACATAGAATGAAGAATGTATATACTTATTTTTAAATATTTTTAAAGTATATGTTAAAATATCAAAAATATGTAAATAACTTTTTAATGAATGTGTCCCCGTTTTTAAAAGCTTGGTTATTAAAACTTTTGTTTAACAGAAAACGAAAATACATTACAATTTTGTTGGAATTGTAATTAAATAATTTGTCCTATTAAAAGTTGTGTTTGTTATTTATAATATTAATGAACGCAAACTTGGGAAAATATATTTGGATACAATACAAATTTCCTATGATAATAAAGTTTTAAGAAATAACTTAAAAAGAATCACATTAAACGATACATCAAATAAATGGCAATGTAAATATAATAATATTTGTATGAATTACTTTAAAATAATCAATCTTATAATATATTTTTCGCCGTGTAGCAATTTTAGCGGCAGTCTCTGCGACGGGCTGTCTGGCTCTCGTGGTCTCGTGGTCTTTGGTCTCGGTCTCGGTCTGCATCTTCGTCTGCTGAGATCTGGATCTGGCTGGAAGGGGCTGGGCCCAAAACAAAACACCAACAGAAGCCAAACGACGGCACGCGAAAGTCCTAAAAACTGAAAATGAAAATGCGCAAGAATTAATAACAATCATGCCTGGAGGTAGCGGCTCTACAGCGAATACCAAATACACTAATTCTTTTGTTGTGCAATAAATACACTTCGTCTTACTCCTTGATCTCAAGCAGCTTTAGTATAACTGCAAAAGCTGAACCTTAACTAGGAAGAACTTTACTTCGAAAAAAAACATTTTAACGACTTATTGACTATTGAGATAATAATAATGTCAAGTAAATGTAATATGTTTTTTCGAGAAAAAAATGGTCGATTGTTATTGTTACCAAAACAATATAAACAAGACAATGATAACTAAATAATTAATCTTAATTTGTTTAGGTTTAATAATCTTAAAACCTCTTAAGCAAAAATGCAACAACATTGTAAATAAAAAAATCAGAATTTGAAAGGCTCTTAGCTATATGCAAATTCCTAGCAATTTCCATTCAAATAAAAGTGGGCGTAAGAGTGGCGATGCCAAAGCGCAGTGTATACCCGAAACAGCAGCACAAGAAGTGGCTGCAAATAAACGGTAGCACCGGCCTGAAGGGCAGAAAACAACACAATAACAAATTGGCTTCTGGTCTTTGCATTCCACATGCAATCTGAGCCAACAATCACGACAACTGCATTCGGTACACGGCACTGGGCTCTGGGCACTGGGTACTGGGTACTGGGCACTCTTCACCCAACAGTCAACACCAGTTGCCATTGCTAGCCATGGCTAAAAGCCAGTGGCCGAGATCCAGAGGCAGAGTCAGTGAGCCAGAGATGGTAACTCCCTTGGTGCCCGCCCGTCTAGCTACTGGCAAACCAAGAAGCACCCATGCCTAATGGCTGGGCCTCTGGTCTCGGGGTCTCGACTCACTACTTGGGCCGGGTCTGAGCCTGGTCTGCGCCTGGTCTGCGCCTGGTCTCAGCCGGTGCTGACTTGACACGTCTGGATCGCTGGCTGACGAACATCGTGTATTTTTAATAGACTTGCGCCAACCCACCGGACCTAACCGCAGGCTGTCTCTCCCCCTGTCCATTTAATGTTTTTTTTTTTTCATTTTTGCTTCTTTTTTAACTGAAAAAAAAAAGATCGTTAAGCAATTGGTATAAATATTAAAATCTATATTGGGACGTTCACGAGGTTATATAAAAAGAAAAAAAGATAAATTGAATTTAAGCTTAAATTAATAATTATAAAATCGAACTCTCTTAAATATATTTTTAATGTGAAACTTACCATAGAAATAATTATATAAAAATTATATTTATTTATATATTTTAGGTATCAAACATTTATTTTTTCGTTAGTGTTATTTTCGTTGCAGTTGATTGTGAAGGAGAGGATCCCGATCCCTCTTGAATCGCTTAAAGTTTAACGTGAGGGATTATTATGTAAACTACGTGTTGATGGTTAAATAATTTCAACTCGGTACTTGCAAATTTAATGTAGCTGGAATTGCATGTACGGAGTCTGATTAAACATTGTATTATTATGCCAAAATTTTAGTTATTTTTGAGTTCCAAGAAATTCCCCACTCTTTTGCTCAAAACTTTGAAGGTCAAATCACACACTCTCCTGAAAGTATTTATAGCTCCGTTAGTTGTGCTATTACTACTCAATAAAGACTGATGTAAGATTAGAACTTCCCAAATCTAGGAAAAGTCATAACAAAACGATAAGCCAATAGTTGGTACTTTAATAAAATGTATGTTTACTTAGTTTGGACGATTGTTAGCAAATATCTTCCGAAATGATCATCCAATAAATTTAATCTATTAATTT